TGAAAACTCTTTAATTCTAACTTTTCACATGACGTGCTCAAGACTACAATACTAAAGGGCATCTTGTACATTCTCCATATCTTTAATTTTTTAAGACCACAAAATGTATTTGTTCTTTACTTACTTAATCTCCGTGCCAAGTCAAAATCAACCAATCAAATTGAAACGGAGGGATTTTTCTATGGAAAATGTCATAAAAAAAATTCTATGGAGAAAATTAACTTTTATCAATAGAGAGAAGAAACAATACAAACCTCCTGGTGTATCTCTGAGATCAGCATGTCATGATGTTGAGGTCCTTTACAACTTTGAGAGATATAAGAAATAAGAGGCATCGCTTTCTAGATTTCAGTGTTTCAGATGAATATAGTTTTCATTTGATCGCAGCAAAAGCGAGAGTATCCTGCGTGCCAAAGAAGACGACGGATTCCTGTCACATGTTCCAATCCAAGTTCAATAGAAGTCTAAGCTAAGTTGCTCGGACTCGGGTGTCCGACACGGGTGCGGATCTAGAGGTTAGATCCTTCATGATCTAATTTTTAAGATCCGGGGATATGGATCCATGTATGGATACGGGTGCGGCGAATCACCTAAAAATAATTAAAATATCTAAAAATGGAGTTATAAAACCTAAACTATGAGACCCTTCGGGTGGCCTAGTGGTTTGGGCTTGTGACTTTCATATTGGAGGTCTCAAGTTTGAAACACCTTGCCAGCGAAAGCAGGGAGTTGCCTTCTGGGTCGAGCTTGTTGCACCGGGCTTGCCTAGTGCAGGTTACCTCTCCTATGTGGTTTGCGAGCTATTGCATTGGAGGGGGGTTTTACCTTGTGCGCACCCAATGGGTAGCTGCTGTAGGTTTCCCTTGTCATAAAAAAAAACAAACTAAATTATGAGATATTATGTGGAGAAGTTGAGCAGAATCTTGGAAGGAGATTTAAAGGAAGAGTAAAATAAAAATTTCTATAGGATCATTAAAATTGTCCAGACTTTCCCCATCGATTTTGGTCAAAGTACCCAAAATCCGTTGACCAAGTCGGACACGGAGTCCACACCCATGTCGTGTCGACACGGGTTCCGGCACCAAAACTGAAGAGTCCGAGCGACTTAGAGTCTTAAGTGTTTAGCAGATGAGGACCACACTTGTGTTTGATTGTGAAATATCTAAAATTAAATGACTAAATTTGCTCTCTCTTAATCTATGTACTTTTACAGTTTATAATATCCTGACTTTAGATTTGTGGTTAACTCCTCTTCAGACTTCAAGCATCCTTCTTCCGTCTGTTTTCTTCTCATCTAGTATCTGCTCTTATTTTCTTCAGCTTCAGTATTGTAAATTTAGATATGTCCTTGAATATGTATTTAGTAATCCACATCTCTGCTCAGTATCAACCATCCCTTGTGTGAGCTTCCCTTGACTGAACTCTAGTTTTGGTGTAATAGATGAGGCAAACAAAATTTTACACTTCACAATAGGTTAAGGAGAGAGCAATCTGATGTGTGACTTGTTTTTCCTTTTTATTTTTGATTTGGGTGATTAATGTGTAGGTGTGTATTGGCTTGAAAAATATGATTAACCGAGATGTTAAGCTGTTGTAGATTCAAAAGATATTCCTTTAAAAAGTTCCTGGGGGAACTAAAAAAAGAATTATATCATCCCTAAAAAGCAACTGCTGCCTCCTTGCCACCTATGGTTCATGCTTATCGCTTTTTTTTTATTTTATTCGTGGTGATCTCAAACTCCAATTCCCCTCGCAACTCTGTCATCAGTCCTCACTAGTCACTCTGTCCAATTTATCTCTTTCTTAGGTTCTCTTTTCAAAAAATTAGTGTGAGAAACTTTCCTGCAAAAAGGCCAAAATAAGTGATTTACATTTGTACAAGTAGAAATGTGTGTCGCCATCAACATCTTGCCTAAGAGTTTGAAGATTCTATTTTCCACCTCATTAGGATTACCTTCTCCTGCCTCCTTTACTGCCAGTTCCTTTTTTCCCTCCTCAGTACCGAAGTCCCTATGAGTGATTAGTTCCCCGTTGGAGTCTCAAGTCTTTGAGCTTCTACAATATCCAACTTCCTGTTTCATGATTTACATGCATCCCATTTTCCAAGGCTGAATAGGTACAGCTTGGTCTTTATTTGTAGGAACAAGAGAGAATATTTTTGGGATTCCGTCTTTTTCCCTGTCATATATTTTCCTGCCAAGTGTTGGTGGAAACGGGGGAAAGATGACCAGATTTAATACATGCATGTAGACAATTCACAAGTGTGGAAAATGCTGCATGCGAGGGCATAAATAGAAGGTTTATGTTGGAGGCCTCTTTTGTTTCTCTCTTTCCATTGGATAAGACGAATTCATTCTTCTCGAATGGATAGCCCGTATGACTCTCATCTTTTATATTTTCTCAGTTACTCATCGTGCTGTCACCCTGCCTGATCTTAAAATGCTGAAACGCGAATAGACCTAAAATGCATGACATAATTTCTTCTCGTCTCTTTGTTTCTGAATTATTCTGAATATCATCAATTTATGTGCGCATTTTTATGAAGAGCTTGAGATGGACTCATCAAGGAGCTCTGAGGCTGGAAATAAAGAAAGGATGATTCCACCCCAGGAGGCATGCAACCGAATTGCTGCAGTGGTACAAGAAGCAGTGCAGACAATGGGAGTAGTGGCTGATGAAAAATTGAGGATGCTAAAGAAAGCTCGCCAAGCTCTCGAGACATGTGATCATGAACTGGAGGAAAAAGCTAAAGAAGTTTCAGAACTTAAACTGGAGAGGCAACGAAAAAGACTACAAATTGATGAATTAGAGAGCATTGCTAGGCTTAAAGAAGCAGAAGCAGATATGTTCCAGCTCAAGGCAGATGAGGCAAGACGAGAAGCTGACAGGTTGCAGAGGATTGCTCTTGCAAAATCAGGGAAATCAGAAGAAGATTATGCCAGTAGTTACCTTAAACAACGTCTTAGCGAGGCTGAAGCTGAGAAACAATTCCTTTTCGAGAAGATTAAACTTCAAGATCAGAGTTCTCGTTCATCACAAGGCAATGACATCGGTGACAGTTCACAAGAACTTTACTCTAAAATACAAGAGATCCTAAAGAGTGTGTAGAAATCCCAGTAAAGCCAGAGACAACCAGCCAAATGAACATCATTGTAAGTTGCCTGATCATTGTTCATGGTTTGTGTCATTTTAACTTAATACTTTAAATAATACATTACCTAAAACCTTGTATAATTGATTAATTTTGCTTTTAAAGTACCACTGTATTGTTGATTTGATCAACTGACTTTCGCCAGAAACAACACAATATCAACTCAAGACTGACCAGAAGTATTAAAAAGCCTAGCATTCATGCAAAATTTTCCCAGGATTATATGTGAAATGAAATCTAGGGCAGTTTCGGTGAGGTTAACCAAACCCATTATTTTTCGTTTTGAACTATGTATACATATGATTTTCCTTGACGTATACTTATAATAAGATCATACTCATTCTGACACAATTCTATATACTGTATCGTTGGATAGTATTGTCCAAACAGACGGTGCATGGAAGATCTCAAAATCAATGACGGAGTCTGTTTGGCACCTCCTAAATGGGCGTTCAAATTAGTCCAACCCCCAAAAGCTTAATTACGAGTTCGATAGAATTCAATTTTAACAAGTTCTACTTTTCCATTAATTATATAAAAGAAATTATTTCATTAATATAATTTTTGACAATAATACTGACCAACTACATTATTGAGAATAGGATTGGGGGGCTACCACAGGCTACAGATGTCTGAGACATATTTATTAGATATAATAATACTATATGATAAGACTAAAATGCATTATTCTTGTTACATTACATTTATGCTGATGAATTCAATTTGTCGACATCCTTGTATTAGCATAATATCCCATTGGTTACAAGTTAACTAAAAAGCTTTTTTTTAACATTTCGTGTTCGAGATTCACGTAGATCCAACTAATTAAGATTCACCTCAAATTTATTTTGAAGAGTAAAGTATCGATACTCAAGACTTCCACTCGAATTCGTTAGGTTTTTGATTGGGAGACATTAACAACCACTCAAAACAAACCGACATTCAACAATGCTACTTTGACCTTTTAACTTGCGTCTGACGAGATAAGCATAATAATCTTAGAATAAAATATGTGATTATGTTATTTCGTGTTTTATTTGTAAATATTAATTTGTCCCAGAATTATTTTATTTCATATAGAAAACTAATAGCTAATCTCATGATATATCTCTGACCCATTGAGATATCCTTATCTACCTTTTGATTCAGACTTAATATATATAGTGAAATATTCATTTAGTAAATAGTACAAATAAAATTCAAACCTAATAAATCAAATAAAATATATGGTAGAATTCTAAACTGGAACCATAATTTTCAAATTTTAGATTTGTCGGTATGACTATTATCATCTAAAACTTCTAAATGAAATGCTCATCCAATTTAACTAAAAAAATTATATTTATTTCATTATGGCCATATGATATAGAATAATTATGCCTTATTTTTTGTGTGTGTGTGATTTTTTTTCTTTCTTTTGTCTATTATACAAGTTGAACTTTTGTAATAGAATAACTGTTCCTTGTTTTTTTTGTGTGTGATTTTTGTTTTCTTTCTTTTTTCTATTAAACAAGTTGAACTTTTGTAAAGTGAGCTGATGTAATTCTTAAAATAGGATCTTATGTTTCTTTTTACCCCTCCAGTCAAAAAAGAAATATCATTCTCTTTTGCTTTTATGTTTTCTAGTCTTCAAAAAAAAAAATTGTAAGATGAATTTATTTCTTTATGATAATATTGGCAGTTATTAAATGTTTTGGCAAAAAGAAAAAGAAATCTTTGTCTTTTTTTTTGTTTGAAATTTATTTGTGCAAAAAAATGGGGGCAATGGATTAACAAGGTAGGGACTGAATCCTCACTAACAAAATGAAAGTTCAAATTGTCAATCAGTTGAGCTATTAAAAAATTCTCTAAAAATTTGAAAGATTTCTTGATTCAAACATCTCATTTTTGCGTAGGAGTTATCATGTGTATATTCTTTATATCGTTTCAATTATATCGGATGTTCACAAAGGAACAATCGTCAGGTCTGATTAATTAGAACCCTAATAAATATTTACTATTAGAAGGTCAATAACTTCTGTTTGAATCTCTTCTATTAAACATGGTATTATAACTTTTAAACTCGATAATTAAATTTCATAAACTTCACATTCTGACTCTATTTTTCGCTTATTATTGCACAAATGAATAAGTAGATTGCAAACAACAATAAAACTTGGACCAAGATGTCTTTGATAGAAAATTGCTACTACTTCACATGCTTAGATTGTTTTAAAGAAAGGATAAAAACATGAAAATAAAGAGATATAAATTGTCATTAAATTTGTTTAAGTTAAGGTCAAGTCAGAGAAGATTTAAGACAAAGAGACAAGTTTTGAAAATGAAATGTAAAGAGAGAAGGGTACAACAAAAATTGTTAGGTGAACAAAAACAAACTTAATGTTTTTCCATGCTTTTATCTCTCCACTATTATACTACTAGTTTTGATTTGACATTTTGTCTCCTTCTCCTAACAATTGTGTTTTTTTTTCAACAACCAATTGCTTATGTAGTATTTTCTCATTTTTCATTTTTTTTTGTTTTTTTATATTTTATTTTATATTATGTTTAGCCTTTACTATAATCTCATTTATTTATTTTCATTAAATGTTCGTTATTCATATTAAAGTTTAACTAAATTTGAATTCGCGCTGAGAAATCTTACATTGGGGGAAAAGAGATAAAGTACTCCCTAACAAACACGACTTCATATGCAGAAAAACTTAAGTCAAAAATATCTGATTAAGGATGAAAAAGTATTTCACGACCTGTAGGCAATGAAGAAGCCTTTTGCTAATCTAAACTATGAAGGTAGTTTAGTTATGATTATCATGTCCTAATGTGAATTTCAGCTTTTGGTGGGCTAACCTTTTGAGTTTTATTCAATAAATAAAAAATAAATATTAGCATAAGGTAAAATATTTTTTTACTTTAATTTTTTTTTTTGAACTTTTTAAAATTTAATAACATGCTGAATTTTGAATTTTCTGAATCCTGAGTATTAAATATAATTTTATTTAAAAGAAGATTTCTAAAACTTATGCATATCAAGATATTTTTGCCCCTATAAATCACCTTGATATATTTTTATTAATCCTAAAAAGTAAAAGATTTTAGTATTCAACTTTAAATTCGAGAAAAAGTTGGTTATAACTTGTACCTGTATAATTCCCAACATGCATATTTATATTTGTAGTTTATAATATACTCAACAGATCTTCAATATTAATTATTATGAACAAACCTATATAAATTTTGTTTCTTTATGTTTGGTATTAGGTGCCTACTATACAAAATCAACATTTTAGAATTAGGAATCTCCTAAAATGGACCAATTTATATTTTATCTTAAAAAAATATGAGAGGACCAAAAAATAAAATATGGGTGATACATCAGACAAATATTTAGCAAACTAGAAAATGTGGGCACTTCATTATTGACAAAATAAATAAATCTTGATTTATGATGTGATTATTTAAAAGATAACTTCACATGAAGAAGGCAATCCACCGTGTAAAAAGGCTTTTGTCTCCTTAATATATATATATATAATATTATTCGTATAACAAATAAAGAAATTTGATGATATAAAAATTCATTTCACTAATGTATAAATATATATATATATATATCTATAACTTAACTAACAAATTCAGTGCACATATATAGAAGTAGTCACTTTGAGAGAAGTATAGGGTAGTATGCATGAGTCTTAGTTGATTCGATTCGAAACTTATAAAGTTTTTATAGTGAATTTTTCTTCGTTTGAATATCATTCTTAAATTTAAAAGTTATGTCATTCTAAGGTGCTTTCAAATAGATGAATCTTGTCAACATACAGAAACGATAAACTCCAGATTAAAATTGTAAAAATTAAAGAAACTGATGCAGTCATAAAAATTTGTATCGTCTAAATTCACATAGTGAAAAAAATTGTAATTTTTAATAATTTTCATTTCTCGTTATTGTTATTTGAACAAATAAAATTTCGATAAAACATTGATTATGATTTATGATCAACTAGTTGGTGTGACTTCAAAATGTCCAAACCTTGTGCATGGTTGAAAGTGACAATTCCACAAATAAATGTTAAAACTTCTTTTTTTCTAGCTTTCAAAATTTGAATGAATATGACATTTAACAATGTAATAAGGGGGCCCTAAAATTAGAAAATTTGTCATGGAAACATAACTCCTTCAATTTAATTATGTCCGGTTGAGTTAATAATTTTTAATTTATTCACACAACTCAATTTAACGTAGACATTTATTTAAAATTTAGACTGATATTTAAGTTTAAATTGATCAATAAAAAACATTACTACAACAACAACGACAATAACATATTTAGTATATGTTTTCCAGTTTAATACTTTATATAAAGTCATTTAATGTCATTAACTATCGATTTATTAATTTAGTCCTTTTGATATAACTAAATTCAATTCAAACCGTTCAGGCCCGACTAAAACTCACACAATAAATGTGGAATCAATTATCATTATTACTTTCATTTCCTTATTTTTCTTGTGTGGTTTGTCGTGTTTAAGAAAATAATGTATAATAGTGCAACTCAAATTACTACACGCAAACTATAATTTGCTTGTTTAGTAAGATTACAAGAGTTAAAAAGGTTTTGATAATTTTTTACAAATTATTTGAATTTTTTTCATATTAGGAGAAAAGTATAATTTTATAAAATTATATTTAAATAAATTTCAATATCAAATTAAAATGATTTAAAATCATGATAATCATGTCCAAACAGACCTATGAACACTTGAATTTGCCAAGTTTTTTCTTGAATAAATCAAAGAAAATCAAGTGACAAAAAGTACTTTTTGCACTTTTCAATTAAATAAAATAATTATTATTATACAAAAAATTAATCTCAGAAAGGGAAATGAGAACTCCTTTTCTCCTTTTTTATTTTTTTATATATATAAATGCTAAAAATTAGATAAGAATTTAATGGATATGTGAGCAAGTAGGATATTTTTCAGTTATTTATGCAAAAAAATAATAATAAGATTTTGAGTTTATTTTTCTGGTAGAACATACGCTTATCTAGAAAGCTTGCCTTTACGAGCAGATTCAATGAACATATATTTTTTTGAATATCATAAATATTTCTTTTATAAAGTTTGAATTATATCTCTCGAACAATCTCAGTATGTAAGATACGACATGATTTTAAGTGACTCTCAAAAATTATTTTTTATATCACGTCAAGAGAAATGATATGAATAAGATCATTGAGTTGCTCGTCATTTTTTTATACAAAGCTATGAAAAAATAGAGGTTATTTTGAGTTTTAATTTGTTAATAAAAGATAAATAAATATTCTTTTAATAGTAATAAAGCTGAAAATAATAAATTCACTTAAAAGGTGGTCAAATCCGCTTATTTGAATTATTAATTACGTGTCTAATTAATTAACAATGAATTTAGTTTTGTGTATTATCTCTCCAATAATATATAAATGTCAAAATAAGGCTACAGAATTTGACTCAAAATATCACATGCAAAAGAATATTCTAAAATCCAGGCAGGCAAATTAAATTAAACTTTGAAGCTATTTTGTCTCTCTAATCAAATGATTAATTTTTCCAATTAACAGGTTGTCACCTTTAATCTTTAGTTGTTTTGTTAATTATCTACCTAAACATGGGCCCATCTAATGACCTAATCCCGCATTAACACTTATGTCATTAGTCTTATAAGATGATTCATGTTTTTAACCATAAATCAATCATTTGAGAACACTAATTTTTCTTCTTATTTACTAATTAAATAATTACTTCTAGTTCCTTTATATGCTACATTGACTCTATTAGGTAAATAATTTACTACTCCGCTAATTATTTGAAAATTCAATGTTAAGACTACTATTTTGATCTAAACTTAATTATAGCTTTAACCAAAAGTAAAAAAATTAAAGCGGCTAAGAGAATTAAGGCATAATATATAAATGTATCATTTAGCTTGATTCAACTGATATCTATGTCTTTTAACTTTGGGTGTGCACAAATACACATTTAAACTTGTATAAAATTAAATAATTAGACACATTTATCTTATGTGGCGTCTTACATGACAATTATGTAGTGTCATACTGTCACGTAGAACGTGTGTATCTACTTGTTCAATTTTATATAAGTTGAAGTGACTATTTGTGCCTACTCAAAGTTGTTGGACATCGATGTAACATGAAATCGAATTAAAAGACACAATTATACATTATACATTTAAATATGAGTTAACTTGCCTTTTAAGCTATTTGGTCTAAGGTTGTGTGCCGGTTGAGTCGGTTTGATTTTAAAAATTATCAATTTATAGATATGCTAAACTATTAAAGAACTATTAAAATATCAGTTAATTAATTGATTACCAATTATTGATCATTAACGATTTCATTATCGATTTAACAGTTAATGTTTCACAAAAAAAATCATTAAAAACTAAAAAATGTGACAAACCAAATCTATTAAGATATTTCAGAATTTATCAAGTGATTTTGCGCTTGAAAATCAAGTTCCATTAAATTGAATTAACATTGTAAGATTAAGGTCTTTTATTCTCGTTCTTTTGGACTTTGTTATCATTATTAAACCAATAAATTAATAGAGTAACGTTTTTTCTTAATTCAAATTATCAATTTTGATTTGATTTTGAATCGCCTAATCTAATCACATTAATTTGTTATTCTCCTTTAAAACAAGTTAGAAATATTTAAAAACCAACTTGTAATGGCTAATAATTATTATAGTACAAAAAATTAGGTGATGGGCCAATTAGAAATTCAAATCCACGTCCTTCAAGCATTATATTGTTCTTTGTATGAGTGTCAACTCAAAACTTTAGCATTTGTCAAGATATATATTAAGGGTGTCACAATATGATACAATTTTGAATACACCTCGTATATATTCTACAGTTATACGATACGTGTTATGAAAGTGACTCATATATATCT